ATATAATACATCCATAAATCATTTTCTGGAAACACACCAATAAACAAATATTTACATATATACTCAAAATATTTGTGTATTTCAATCTTTATTGATTAATGAAATAAGTTGTTTGTGTTTCAAACTTTGTGACAGCCTAAAATGATCTGGTGTTTAAAGTACTCGACTCGCAAATTGCAGGTTGCGAGTTAAAATCCCGTCACCAAACATGATTGCCCTTTCAGCCATGGGGACATTATAATGTGAAGGTCCATCTCATTATTTGATGTAAAGAGTATACCAAGAAATGGCAGTGGATAGTATTGATTAGCTGCCTTCCCACTAGATGGCCAATGCAGATAACCCTCTTTTAACTTTGTGCAAAATTCAGTATTCAAACTTTTTGGCCTAGAGGTTAGTGTGTCAGGTTGTGGATCAACATATACAAGATTTGATATGTAATGCTGTTGAACACACTAGAAGTTAGGGGGATACCCTTGTGGCAAAAGGATCTTGCTGCCTGTGGTTACACAACTTTTACAGACAAAGGCCACTACCCAAGGGTTATATAACTATAACGTAATATATGCAAATTATGATGATATCTGAGGGTTACATAACTGTTATGTAATAGGCACCAGAGAACAATGACGTCTACGAGTTGTCACCAGAAGGTGCTGCAGTCTTATGGGAGGGGGGACATCATAGTTCGATACCAAAGGGCCTGTTACTATAGGCAGATGCTGTTACTAAGGTTTTATAGGCTATACACTAATATACACAAATACCCTAAATTAGCTTTGATACAAATTTTGTATATTATTTTCATGTTAATATTTTAGTTAGAATTTATATTTTTCATTTCTGTAACATTATGTGAAAACAAGCATTGTTTATCAGGAGGCATCATACTAAAGACATGTCACTATATAAATAAATGAATAAAGGAATCAAATATGTGCATTATAATCAAACATAATTATTTTGTGACACCAGCAGTAATATTTGTTTCCACTATATGTTCAATGCATGCGAGAGTTTAGATTGTAGGCTCAGAAAAAACTAGTTTGTTGACTATTTCAAAACAGATATTTTATTCACATAGATTTTGAAACAATGTTTTGGTAACACATATTATCTTTTCACTTAAGAATTATAAAGATCGTCAGTTACAAATCAGTGTTCAGACTAAAGATCAAATTTCAGATAATTACATGTCTAGCTTAGTTCTTTATGATAAATTACACCCTATGAATAATAGTTTCTAACAAGTATGTTTGAACATCTAATACAAGTCTCCATGTATATTTTTCTTATATACAACTCATGATTCATCACACCCCAATATGCTATCATTAATGTATGTAAGTAAAATCACAGACTTAACTATCACACATACACTTCAGATACACTAATATACTATTTATGTAAAAATCTTAGTTTATAAAATACTGACCTATACATCTCCAGCTTAGTCTTTTATGGTAAATTATACCCCATGAATATCAGTTTCTAACAAGTATGTTTGAACAACTAATACAAGTCACCATTTGTATTTCTTACATAAAACTCATTCTATCATTAATATATGTAAGTAAAATTACAGACTTCACAAGTATCACATATGCTGAAACATTTATCAACAAAACTTCGGATACACTAATATACTATTTATGTAAAAATCTTAGTTTATAAAATACTGACCTTCATGCCAATGTAACAGTACCTGTGGCATGCACTTGATCTAGCATGTTATTAGTCAAATGTATCAAATATCCATAAACGAAATATAAAGGACATTTCCCATAGTAATTTGAGCTAATATGATCATAGAACAATTCTTCATTTTAGAAACTCTACAAAGCATATCATGCACTTGAAATCCTTAACTAACTGGACCATCCCCATCATGGTAAAATTTCATACATTAAACCCAACCCCTATTGCTTAAAACTGGTGTTTTCACCATAGCCTAATATGCTATCATCAATATATGTAAATAAAATCACAGACTTGTCAAGTATCACACATGCTGAAACATTTATCAAGAAAACTTCAAATCATGTGCATACATTCTACTTTTGAAGCTCTTAAGGACAAAATCCATAAAAGTTTTGACAGCATATTTAAAAGTATGTAAGGTAAATTATTAGTTACGGTACAAAACTTGCTTTGCTCATATAATGGATAAATTAAGATAGTACATGTGACAAAACTGACATATATAGCATATATATAAAACTGACACATGTAATGGTTTTATTTCTAACTTTTTGGGACATATAATTAAATCTAGACTACAGTGTTAATAACATAAGCACACATTGACACACCCTAAAATGAGAGCATCATCCTATTGAACTATCCATTATAGTAACACCCATCCACCCTAACAGCACTAACCTTAGTAACACAGTTCACACTGTAACACCATCTGCCTTTGTTAAAAACATTTAACACAGTTAAATATATAAATGAAAACTATAAACATAAGTTAAAACAAGTTGAAATCTGTATACAATCCTACAGAAGTATAGTCTTCCTATAGAAACACCATAACAGATAATTGTAAAAAAATGTAAAGTAGATTATTGGCTATGCTAGTAATATTTGCCTCACTTAAATATTGGATGAATTAAGATAGTATGTATGATAAAAACTGATGGACATAATACATTATGCTCTAATAATTGTCTCATAAAAATAATGGTTTTACTTGTAACTTTTAGGACATAATTAAATCTAGACAATGATCACGTAATTACATGTTGAGACACCCTATGATGAGCTCATTATTCTATTGAACTATCTGCCTAGTAATACTATTCACCAAAAGAAACACCACCCTCAGTAACGCCATCCTCCTATAGAACCTTAGTAACATCATCTGCCTTTGTAAAACAAATGTAGTACAACTAAATTTATATACAGAAAACTGTAAACAAAACTTAAAACAAGTTGAAATCTGTATGAAATCCTATGCAAGTATAGTAACACTGTTCACCTAAACAAACACTGTCCACCTATATAAAACACACAGTACACCAAGTAAGACCAGCCACCTATAGAACCTACGTATCAACATCTACCTATAGTAACAGTCCCTCTGGTATCAAACTATGATGTCACTTCTCCCTTGAGACAGCAGCACTCTCTGGTGCCAATTTGTGGAACTATGATGTCATTCCTAGCAATGTGCTCTCTAGTACCACTTCGTGGACATTATCGCCCTATAGTGCCTATTACTTGACAGTTATATAACCCTCAACTATCCACATAATTTGCATATTATGTAATAGTTATGTAACCCTCAGGTGTTGGTATAATTTGCACATTACGTAATAGCCATGTAACCCTCAGGTATTGGTATAATTTACACATTAGGTAATAGTTACATAAATCTCAGGTGGTATCATTTGTTCATTACTTAACAGTTTGTGCAACCACAGGCGGCAGCATCCATTTGCCGCCAGGATATCCCTCTAACTACTCACACTCCACGCTTTTGATCTGTATTACAAATATGATAGTGGATTCCATCATTCGATCCATTGAGTCGGACAAAGTTCTTGTGGCAGCTGGCTTTCCTTGTGTTACTAGTCATTAGTTCAAAATAAATGACAGCTACACTTGGATATTTTATCTCGATGACCCGAACTTTAGCACACATGCGAATAAAATGCAGTTCAGGTTAAAAATTAAAATTTTGTTTATAAACAGTATTTTGGCAGAAATTTAAATTATTTTTGATATTTTTTTGGATTGTTAGCTGAAAGACATTATTCTGAAACTAGTTAACAAGAATCAATATCAATATTAGTTAGTATAGAGTAAAATATTAAGTACATCATTTTATAATAAATAACTTTAATTTGTTAAACATTATTGCTAGTATCAGCATATCGCGAGCCCCAAAGCACAAATTCAACGTAGTCCCTTAAAAAACTCACGTGAGAAGAAGAAGAAGAAGGCTTTTATCGCCAAAGATCGGGTTCGATACCCTCGGTGAGTATAGTACAGATAACTCATTATGTAGCTTCGCACTTAACAATAAACAAACCAACAAACTCGTGAGAAATAAGAATGGATGATTATGTTATCAAAAAAATGAAACTATATTAGTAAATATAACGTATGCTTTGGAATGTGCAGAAAAAGCTTTTTCTTTACGAATTATTCTAAATAAACCTTATTACAAAATAACTAAAACTATGAATTGTAAATAATTGTTTCAAATAGAGTTGAAAAGTGTTGAAATTATTAATTTTATTTAAATCTGATGTGCAAGTATGCATTGGACACATAAAAGGTGCTAGCTTGACTTGTCAGGGTTAATAACATAACTTTAAGAGCCCTTACATTCTCGAGCCCAGTAGCTATGCTATGGGCATGGCGTGGTGCTTAGTGCGATTGACTCACAATGTGCGGGTCGGGGGATCGAAACCAGTCCCCGAACGTGCTCGCCCTATCAGCCGTGAGGTCGTTATAATGCGACGGTCAATTTTATTATTAATTAGTAAAAAATATCTCAAGAGTTGGCGGTGGATGGTGCTAACTATCTTCCTTCCCTCTAATTTATCACTTCAAAATTAGAAACGCTACGAATATAGCCTATGAGTAGCTTTACGTGAAAGTCAACAACAAAAAGCTACGCTGTGACAGTATCTACTCCACTGACCAGTTTTAATGAAAGGTAATTGTCACACAAACCATTGATTTTTAGAAAACGTTTCGCTGACATAAAGGTTAAGTAACATTAAAAAATAAAAGTTTGTAATTTTGGTAATTGTTCTTTTTATAACACATTTCAGTCTCATTGTCTTATTTATTAAATGTGAATACAATATACATTTTTTTAATAGAACGCATTTCTTAAATTGGTTTTATTTTTTAAGTGTAGTTCCGAGTATTGTTATCATTTACTAGTGATAAATGTGATTGACTGTTTATAAATTATATTGTTACCTAATTGTTCATATTGTACTGATACATGTTAATATTGTTTTTTCTCTCCAATCTAGACATTTGTAATGGCGATCAGAAAAGTTCAACTTTTGTCCTTATTATTTCTGGTGGGATTTTCGGGCGGATTTTTTTTTGGGGTAAATATATAAATATATATATATTAAAGGATGTGTGGAGGTGTATAGTAGAGATAGAGATATAATGCTTTGCTCTCTGATTCACTTAAAATCCTTTGTAAGTTAAATATTTTTACGTTTATGTTTGGTCAATTCGCTAATTTTTCAGGATCAAATACAGTTATAATAAATAGGTGATATATTCATTATTCTGAGAGGAACTTCATTAATTTTACTAGGGCCGGACGTGGCCTAATAGTATACGAACATAAAAGAAATATATATATGTGTATAGAAAATTAATACTTAAACAGTTAAGCAAAATCAAATCAAAAGGTATGACTGCGTTACATACATCAAATCCAAACCTGTAATAGATGACATCTAAATGAACAAAACAAGCCCAACAAAAAACACATTTTATATCCCACATTATAGCCCGTATCCTAGAGATCCTTTTAATTTATGCACCGTCTTTAATTTAATTTTTGCTGTTGTTGTTGGTCTTGTTTTGTTCCTTTATATCTAAAATATTTTAGAAACTAAACTATCGATTATTTGTTTGGAATTAAGCACAAAGCTACACAATTGACTATCTGTGCTTTGTCCACCACGGGTATCGAAACCCGGTTTCTAGCGTTGTTACTCCACAGACATACCGCTGTGACACTCAATCCCGTTATTCTTTTAAAGAATTGAAAAAAATCCCTACATTGGGAGGTGGAGTTGGCACACACCTCTCTTGTCAGTATTTTAAAATTAAGGTTAATTATACCAAAATTCTTGAGTGCCTCTGACTTAGTCGATTTTGCCCATGTGGGCTTAAGATGATATTCAGGTTGAAAATTCCAATTCTACACATCACGTTCTTAAGATGTGACATCAACTTCACTGTGTTTCAACTTCTTCGATGTCCTCCGCCTGACTTAGTTTAACGAAAATACAATTAGACGTCATTTTAATATAATGAATATCACAGAGATCATAGTCCTAGATCCAAAACTATTCCTATCTGAAAACTATATGCAAAGGCGTCCCTAGGCACTGGTACACATATCCAGAGAAACATAATGTAAAACTTCTGCTTTTATAGCATAGAAATGAAATATCCGAAAATCTAAAAATATATACAAATTTTATGAGTTGTGCTCAGTTCTCGCGCATTGGTTAGAAACATCCATAAGCAAGATTTCTGCTTCAGCATTTACGACCATAGAAAACTTGTTAATCTTGTTTATCCAAATATTTATAAATACAAAAGTTTTATGTCATATAATTATTATGAATATATTTAGCTAGACAACTCTTTCAAGGACATGTTATGTATCAGTAAAATTATATATTAATTAAATGTGGTAATCGTTGTACAATAGCATTATCATTCTACGTGTCTTGTACTTAAGTCGCTTTGCAAGTAAAGAACGATTAATGATTTATTTTCCTTATTATTTCATTTTTATCTCTATAGATAAGAATCATCTGCATATTTTTTCAGGCGACATCAACAACACAGGTATGATATTTATAATACTGAATATGTTTTTCTATTCAGACACTTTTAAAATGAGGAAAGTTTTGGTCATTGGTTAACAGGTTAATCAAGATAAGTCTAATACTGCAGATCTCGTGATTTTCAAGCCATTTTTATATATTGTATGACATATACATTTATATATATATTTAAAGACTTTTAAGAGGGCCCATAATTGCCACTTCAACTTAAAATTTGTATAAATATATGTATTGATTCTTTAATAGTTTACTTTATTTAAATATACATTTCACATAGCTGCTTTAAAAACAAACAGCTTAGCACGTGACATGATGTTAAAGAAAGAAAACATGTCTTTTTTTTTTACCAAATTGTAAAGTACTCGAAACTATTCCTACAAATAGATGTCGTGGACAATTTAAAGTATCTAACCTATATAAAATCAAGTGTGTGTCACGTCACGCTTGATTTTTCGAAATAGGGGCAGTCATAAAAGCCAAAATGCATTTATCCAGATAGGATAGTTTGATTACTGTCTGTCCATTACGATTTTAGTGACGGGGGTGCAAAGGGACCGTGTGTGAGGAGTTCCGTGAAACCTTATAAGTGTAGTGAGTGTTGGTATAATAAGCCTAAAGTAAAGACGTACTGCGAGATTACCTAGCCTAGAGCCAAGTGCATAAAATTTATCATGAAAGTAAAAATATAGCTTCAATTTTAAACTTAAATCGTTTCCGAATTCAACTATTTTCTGTTATATCACCAACGTTTTGAATAAAAACAAACCTCTTTAATTAGCAGATACTCTAAGTTAAGAAATCGACAAATATTTTTCCAGTTTTGTTGTCTATACATTTCATTTTATACTTTCTGTACATAGACTAACAACAATACTAGAGTATACTTTTGTTGCTGAGCAACATGACATAAAAGTCATTGTTGGAACATAGTGTTACCAAAACGCACTGGCTCTATATATTAGCAGTTTTTAATCTAACTGATTTTTAACAATAACTATTCTATGAATATGACACAAATTCATTTCATGAATGATCTTAATTTTGATTGGCTTACAAAGGAATTTACCGATGTTTGACTGCCTCGACTGCACTTTTCTGCCTGTTTGTTGGTCAAGCTTGATTTCGCAAAATTTATTTATTTCAATTAGCTATTAAATGTGAGGTTAGGGTATACTATGTAGTGGGAGTGGTAGTACTTGCCCGTCATTTTTGACGGGTTATTACGCTAGTAAACTCTCATAAGTATGGTAGCAAACATACAAACCAATTAAAGTAGGATTTATATAAAAATAAACATATTTTTGATATTGTGCATTTTATTTTATTTTATAGTTCGCTATATTAGTATGTGAAAACGTTATGTATTTAAATCGTTAATTCTAATGAAGTCCTGTTTTTAAATGTCTTTTGTGTCTTTTTGAACATTTTACCCACTTTTTTATATAAATTTTGGATATTTATTATTTTGAATGTAGATTATTTTGTTGAAGGTAACTAAAAGTAAACTTTGTCACTATCTCACCATATATATATGGAGATATATTGCGTGCTTCAGTTTTCAATGGATAAAATATTAATAAAATTAACAAAGAGCTTATTAAGAGCGTATTAAAGCCACTTTTATGTTTATTTCAAACACAAACTGAATGTAAGGTTTATAGCAAGCCTTCGGGATCATGACGTATATTGGTTCAAAGCGCTGCCAAACAAGCCAAATGATAATGTTACGTCTCTGGTCGTTGGTTAACTTTTCGTAGAAATTCTTTCAAAAAAAAACTTCAACAATACAAACTTTTTCTTAAATAAAACTAGTTTATTCTTTCTCAATACAACTTTGCAATACACTTAATTTCCACAGTCACTTTAACTTAAACACACGCTAGAATTCACAACGATTCATGCACTTTACTTACGGCTTAACTCGATTATCTGTCTCTATATATCTCTGTCTGCAATTCAATTCTCGCCGTCACTTTATTTGCCGGCTTATATACTATAAAAGCGCGAGTCTAGCAAACGCTCGAGCCTTCAGGAACGTTCGAGATACTCATTACGTGTTACCAGAGTCACGTGACTTCCGCTGTCGTAACAATAACATAGTTTTCCGTATAACATGCTGTATCAATTCGTTATGGCCCTATAGATCGGTAACCACTCCAACCACTGCCGGGATTGTCGCCTACGCTTTGGATCAACACGTTTTGGCACTGTAGATAGGCAGCGAACAGGGTCAACGTATTGACTCAACGTGCTAGGCCTCATATTTTTAAGCATGTTATTTTGGAATGCTTAAACATATGAGGCCTAGAAAGGATTACGATAATATTATTGGCTATTTCAATAACGCGTTGACGCTATACGTTCAGGCCCTGTATGTGGTAACCAACAGGACCATAATGCGTTGATTCAACACGTAGTGGAAAGTTCGACTACGCGTTGAACCACTACGTTATGGCCCGATAGCTTTCCATATACATTATGGCCCTGTTGGTTACCACTTACAGGGCCGTAAGGCGTTAATCCAACACGTAGTCTAAAGTTCGACTTTGCGTTGAACCAATATATTATGGCTTGTCATAGAAGTTAATGAAACGCTACACAAATAAAAGAACGTTGCATGACAAATAGAGATCATATGCAAAGCTTTATAACTCAAATAAATGGTTAAAATACAAAACCGAAACGGTTACGGTTCTCTTACGAAGCAAGTAACTTTCAAATTATAAATCTGTGAATGAACTAAACAAAATAATCGTATTACTACCAAGTAGTAAAAAAAGCTGCACATACACTACTCAAAATGTATGTAAGCATATGCCCTATACATGCCCTAAAGCACAAACTCGCAAGTCACAAGATTATTAAACGAACAAATGAATCGATGTTTTTCAGGAACCTTTAATGAAATATACAAATATCTTTTGATCGTTAAGTAATAAATCAAAAAATAACCTATAATTTACTATAATTTTTAATATCAGATTGTATAAATATTATATAATCATAATATTAAACACACAGTTTAGTACACGGAAAAATTCATTTCTTATAATAGAGCCTCTTTGTGGCATCTTATGGAGATTACATGCCAAAATAATTTAATGTTCCAAGCTTCTACGTTGTTCGTTGACTTTTATGTCAAACTAGTTATATTTACAAACTTCATAACTATGAGTTGTGTGTACGATTACCCGCGTTTTAATAGGGAATATACATTATCCTACCAAAAGTCATGGGACACACCTCTGATTGCAGGAAAATGTGAGTGACGACGAAATATGCGAATAGTTTGGACTATGAAGGTGATCAGCGGTTCGAAGTCATTTCCAATTTGTACGCCGAACGGCTGGTTATGTCAAGAGTTGCATGCCATCTTTGTTTGTTTTTGAATTTCGCGCAAAGCTACACAAGGGCTATCTGCGCTAGCCATCCCTAATTTAGCAGTGTAAGACTAGAGGGAAGGCAGCAAGTCATCACCACCCACCGCCAACTATTGGGCTACTCTTTTACCAACGAATAGTGGGATTGACCGTCACATTATAACGCCCCCACGGCTAAAAGGGCGAGCATGTTTGGTGTGACGTAGATTCAAACCCGCGATCCTCAGATTACGAGTCGAGCGCCCTAACCACCTGGTCATGCCGGGCCTGCATGCCATGAATTTTCACGGAAGAGCTGCAGCCCACAAGCCGATGTTTACAAAAACAAATGCGCACCGTCGATTGGCATGGGGCAAGGTACACCAAACCTGGACCGTGGATCAATAGAGATCGATCCTGAGGGGCGACGAGTCACGCTACACGCTCTTCCAGTCTGATGAATGTGTTTGGGTATGGAGGATGCCTGGAGAACGCTTATTATCTTGAGTGTGTTGTCCCAACAGTGAAGTTTGGAGGTGACGGTATCATGGTCTGGGGCTGCTTCTCGTGTATGGACTAGGTCCAATGGTCGCAGCGCATGGATCCATGAATTCTGAGTCCTACATTGATGTTCTGAACAATTCTATGTGTCCTACGTTGTGGCAATTTTATGGTACCGGCTGTTATACCTTTCAACATGATAACGCTCTGTCACAAAGCAAGGATTGTGGACGCATGTTTTGAAGAGAATAACATCGGAACATTGCAGAGGCCCTCTTCAGTAGTGGAACTTACTAATGCTTTAAAGGAGGAGTGGAGCACAATACCACCAACTTTCTACCAGACATTAGTAGACAGTCTTCAAGACGCATTGAAGCAGTCATTATCGACCAAATGCGGGCCAACACGCTACTAATTTCTTGGAATAAAAACATGTTTTATTCGTAACTACCCGTGTCTTATGACTTTTGGTAAGACAGTGTATTTATAAGAAAGAATACCAAACCAAATTATAAGACATGCTGACGTATAAAACAAATATATATATATATCTCAGTGACTATTTTTACCAAGTAAAATCTTATGATATATCTTAAGAATGTATTTCGTTTGTTTTTTCTCCAACAAACTAAGCTGTATTGTCGAACAAAATAATTTTTATACATTATAACAAACAAGTTCAAGCCAATCACTCATGAGACTTGGATTTCGAAATTGTAATCGATTTAGGTTAGACCAATGTAGTTTATGTATGTTATTCATAAAAATACGTCCAACTCAAAATATTTAACAGAATATTATGCATAACAAAGGTTAAAGTGACGCTGGGAAAGCAAAACACGATATTACTGTGATCTATGAGCTAAACTGCTTTCAAAATGTTGCGGGAATGAGCTAGAACATTATGATGGCCCTAAAATATTTTCAGTTGCTTTAATTTCTTCATTTGCAAAACTACTTTCTGAATAGCAAAAAAAAGAGGCTTTATTTTCAACTTCAATTAATAGAAAGCAGATTTATAGAAGGAAGTTAAACTTGAAGCACAACCACTAACTATAGAATTTTATTCAAAGGTTGTCAAATATTCTTCATTAACTTATATAGCACGATGTTACAAAATAGTGTAAATGATCATCTGTAAAGAACAACCAGTATGAAATACTTTTTATTTGATAAAGCTTCATTTTGATCTCATAATGATCCGATTTACTCGATATAACTCCATTTTTTCCCCCGTCGAAGATGTCACAATATTTTTGTACTCCTTCCTTGAAGTACTTGGAACAGTGTAACTTTTCTAAGTAATTCTGTTGACCAGCTGTGAATACATTTCATATATATTTATTCCATAGTCTTATAATATCATTTTATTTTTCATGTTCTGAATGTTGTGTTTCTTATTTTCATTTCAGTGTGTAAGATGTCGCTTCTTCCAGCAAGTTGTAAGTAAAACTTTAAAAAATTGTTATGAGATTAGGTACTGAAATGACCTTAAGTAATTTGTTAAGCTGAAAATTGTTGTTTTTGTGTCACTTTTTCACAGCTACGTAGTCAGAGCAATATGACAATAAGTAACATTATTTTACTAGCTAGCACTGCAATCACAAAATATAATATTCTTAGTTTTCTCACTTAAAGTCTTTCTTATATATATATTTGTTGTAAGTTGTAGATAAAAACTGCAGCTCGTATCAGGAGTTAATAAACAGACCAGTTTTGTTGTCAAGGTTGTTGTGTCCGCCATTCACTCCTATAGTTTTGTCTGATATTATCCCCAAGAGAGTGGCATAAGGTTTTTTTTCTATATACACAACTCCAATGTTACCGCTAGGGGTTCTTATATGTTCTCCATGCTATTCTTTTGATCTCTAACAAACTTTGAAGGCCCTCTTAGGGCACCCCAGGGAGTAGCAATAGAAGGTGTTGGTGTTCATATATGATCCCCTCATGCCACTCCACAGAGGCCTTTTATCTGTCTGTATGTCTGCTTTTCACACCTTCAATCTTTGACCAATCTCAAACTTGGCATGTACCCTTAAGGCTACTGGGAAATGACATAAGGGAAGGGTCGTGGGTGTTCGGATCTATCCCCTATGTTACTCCCTAAGCGATCCGTATGTCTTCCCCATGCATTAAACCGGTACGTCAGTTTGTATGATATTTTCACACAGTTAACGAAACACCTGTTTTTCCTTATCTAAAATTATAAGAAATGCCCGATCAAGTGTCAAGTATAATAGAACTAGTCGAAAGAAAAGATAACTTATCTGTTCTGCTTAAATCGTAATGTTTGAAACTGAACGTCTAGGACACGCCAGATCGTGTTCTTCTGTATTTATGTATGTCTTTAAGAAACACATGGAATATTTCTGTGAGTCTGTCATTAAAATACAATGACCTGAAATACTATTATACATTATTCTCACTAAACATCTGTATTGGTTCAGTAGAACAGATGTAATGAAAATCATTGGGATGTAATATCATGCTTATTACCAACTAAACTAGTTGAAATGTATGTATCTTATATACGTAAAATAGAAACAAGTGAACTGATTTTTTTGTAAATTATTACTTGAATAAATTGTCATTTTACTTAAGTTTAAGGGTAAATGAATGTAAGTTTTAAGCGGATAAGAATTGTCATAAGATGTTTAAAACAAATTAAACAACATTGAGATTTGTAAGAGTAATATTTAAACAACATCACTATATGTATATATATTCTGTTTTTTTTAGGTTCGTTTAGTTAAAAACATTAAAATATCTTAAACTCTTTTTAAGGTTACCGAAAATATTGTTTATGAGCATTCATAGTAATCGTGTGTTTTTTTTTCATTTCTTACAGTTAAGTAGTTGTGTCGGATCGGTAAGTAGAATATTGAAGCGTTCATTACTTCGAGATGGAATACATACTTCACTAAGAATCACTTTATATTTACGTAGTGTTGACTTTTATGTTTTGAATAATATCTGCACATTTTCAATATATTATCTTAAGATTGTTCTTATTTAATAAGAGTTTAATCTACGTCTCATATTAGTTAATTGCGTAAGATGAAATTTTCTATATTTCAACTGGTCTCACAATTAAATAATGTTAAAGACGCATATACAAATATATAAACAAATGAGGTATCTTGTGACCTTATAAAGAAAGGTGATATATTAAAGTTGCAAAACGAAAACAAAAAACGTGAAATTAGTAACAAACATAATTCATTACAGTTTTGAATGAAATCTAAAAAGCTACAATTTTGTGTGAAAATACAAATTTTCCTCCTGTTTACTAAATTATTGTTAGGTAAGAAATATTTACACGTATAATTTTGATTAAACAAAATTGATAGCAATGTTGAACACAAATCACCAAAAAAACGAAGATGATGGTGACACCAGCAGTCATATCTTGGTGATTTACTTACTATGCATGACTCGCCCTGACGTAACATTTAAAAACGCATTTTATAGCAGTTAAAAAACAATATAGTATGCTACTTTCATAAAACGCAACTTTTACTTGTCATACAATGAAAAATTTGGGTTTAATTTTGACGTGAGAAATATTAATTATTGCTCGGAGTGTTTAAAGCTTTTATTTTTATCATAGACCAATCCTTTCTTTGATATATTCAGAAAACAGAGTTGAATATATTATATTCTATTACAACAATTTTGAATATGTAAATCACTAAACCACGTAATAACCACAGCAAATGTAAAGTTGTGGTGTAGAAAATGTATCAAAGCTTCATTTTGTCATTACTTGGTATTAGGTAGATAGTGTGATGCCACTTTTTTTTAATGGTACCTATTTCCACCATAAATATTCATACACTCGGGTCAGGAAGATGTGTTCAAATCGAATATTCAGAATTTTCAAGAAAGAGATATTCCTTTTACTTAATGACATTGGAAAACACAGAAATATGGATCAACTTGGGAAACTAGGGCCATAAAGAAAGAGACCTGTAACAAGTCGTACCCCAGTATGGTAAACTAAGTGTGATCTTTGCAACAGGCGAGAACTTACGACACAAAGGTCAGTGAAAAAACTGACCATGTACTCCAGACATCAGTATGCTACATAATCAAGAAGGTTCTCCCTCTAAAAAAGCGATAAATGTCACATCTATGGAGAACAATCCGTGTATTCATGCTATTCCATATGAAGACATTGATTGTTGTGCGATCACACTACTGAAAGGGGTGCTGGATTTTAACGTAGGGAGAAGAGTTGCACTTTGGACGTGATGTTCTCACAACAGAACTTTTTCAATGAAACTAAGCGACATGAACTGTAACCGTTTTAATATAACGTATTCAAGCCCTTTATAAGTTATAATAATGATATTTTGAAATGTCAAAACGTTTATTTTCACAGACCAACCCTTTCTTTGTCATTTTCGAAGTGTGTAATTGTATTTATTATAAGATGGAATGTCAATATCTCTACCCTCTTAGATCTACTTTTTCTTTGTAATTTTCAGATTATAGGGTTTTAATTGCTATAAGAAGTAATGTGAACACCTTTAATTTCGTATATTAACTCTTTCTTTGTCAACTGCAAGCTGTATAATTGTAATTGTTCTAGCTTGGAGTGTAAAGATCTTTAATTTCCTATACGAACCCTTTCTTTGTCATTTTCAAACTATATATCTGTAATAATTATATAAAGAAATGTTAAAACATTTAATTTCTTTGTTATTTACAGATAGCAGAGTTGTAAAATATTTATAAAGGAAAATTACATGATACTTTCACAAGACCTAATACTTAATATCTAAACTTTATATCTAACCCAAAAATAGGTTTAAAAAAGACACAATTCTATTGTACTTCATATCATCATATATTTATTATATACTATATACTCTTCTTTGTTGCAGCCATCGTTACCTGTAAACATTACCAGTACTCAAGCCAATTGCATCATAAATAATCCGTTTTGTTTTGTAAGTTATTTCTTCCTTTTACACTATATTGCATTATGAGATTGGTAAAAAACATCCAACTAAAGTGTATTCAAAACATCGAGACTTTTTTCAGTTCAAATTGTTGGCCTAATTATTGGTTTATTTATATATTTGACAGTTCATTGATATATATACTTTATTAATTGTACAATTGCTGAATCACATGTTTTATAGATTATTATTGTTATGAATATTCACTTGATTCTCTTATTTTAAAATTACTTTCATTTATAGTCTCATTTCTTGTATCTCACCTGATGATGTTAGGTAAACTTGGTGAAACGTTGAGACAAAAGAAGCAAGAGATAAAACCTTGTCCGAGCTTTTATTTTGTTTTCTCGACGGACTTTAGAGTGTGATTCTTCTAATGAACATTATTATAATTATTATATAAATTTCTTGTTGATTTCCATATAGTATTATTAATTTAATATGTAAAAAAGTCTCTACAAATTTAGTATTTTCAGATACTTTTTGCAAAGCTACGGAAGAGCTCTCTGCGTATAGCCGTCCCTTGTTTGTGCCATGTTGCCACAAGAACGTGCTCCGTACTTTGGGAGCGTGAGTGCTATATGAACGACGGTCAAATCCGCTATTTGGTCAGACAAGAGATGGCGGTGGATGTTGTTGACTAGCTGTCTTCCCTCACGTCTATCAGTTCAAAATGAATGACGGCTATGTGCAGATAACCCTTGTGTAGCTTTGCGCGAAAAATCTGAAAGAAATAAACATAACCAAGTATATTTTTAGTTCCTTTTAAATGCAAATCTTCTAGTGCACAAAGGGAAAAGAGAGACAATTTTAAAAGTTCTTCTTACTTACATACATCAGATAACAATAAGTTCATTGAATCGATACGCTGCTTTGGTTAAAAAGTTAATATATATATGTATATATATTTAAAGTACTAACCAGTGTTTTGTTAACTATAGCTTTGTTATTTTACGTTAGTCTGGTGCTTTCGGAAAGCGAAAACGAAGTGTGGAACTGGAAACACAAGAAACGTACTTGCCTTACGTTACGCAACTTCAAAATGAGAATGTCAAAGACAGCGTTACGTCTGACGATGATTTCCAAAAGGGTTATCTAGGAACCACAGTGAATGAAAACGAGGACTAAAGAAATGAAGAGAACAGTTAACTTTAAGTCATGCATACTAAATAAATATAAGTTTTGCAAACTCTGTATGCAGAAAATACTTGCATGTACTTAAACTTAAATGTCTACATATTATAATCTATAGTTTTGTAGTAATAAAATAATCGAAGTTGTAAAAAAATGTTATTTCTTTCTCTTTATTTTAAAGGTCCGACTTAGTAAAATGATTAGAGTGTTGGACTGTGAAGGTGAAGGTGAAGGTGAACGTATTTCGTTCTTTGGGGTCATGGGTGTGTTGTAAGAGTGACGGCAAGTTCCTCCATTCGATTAGAGTTGTCACTGGATGCCTTTAGTAGACCCACGTCTGGAGTTAAAGACACGATGCTACAAACACGCTTTGCACTTTCTACTGTGGGCGTTGTATAAGAGTGACAGTCAATCCCGCTATTCGGTGAAGAGTAGCTATTTCTACTGATTGCCTTCCCTCTAGTCCTCAGTTCAAAACTATGCCTGAACTATAAGCATCTCTGACCTGGCCATTATGCCCATTGTGTGTCGTTTAGGTAAAGAAACACATTAATTATTTAAGTCTTCCCTACCTGGTTCACCATAAGAAATGTTTTAGTCATTTCATTTGGAGTGCAAGTTGATATTTTAAAGCATATTTGATTTTTCAATATTCTTCTATCACAACGAAAAATTATATACTAAATAACCTAAAATGTTAAAAAAAAGTAATGCCTGTATCTTGTCAATCCATCCAAAGTATGTATTTTTATTATTTATGAAAAATACGTTCAAATACTGCTTAAGCGAAATCTTTCTGGATTATTGCATTTCACCGAGCTATAGAGATAGAGGAACACTTTTGAACGATTCGGGTAAGTTCACGTTATACTGGCAATATGAACGATAATATAATATTACTGTAACAGACAACCAGTAGGCGATGCAAAGAAAAACAAAGAATAAATGAAGAACAAGAACTAGAAAGTTCTAACTGACGTAAGTGTAAAAGAATTGAGTTTCATACGTTCAGGCAATCAACTTTACACTTTAAATGTGTTTTAAATAACTAAAAAATGCATCATTATTTCATATTTAATCCACTGTGTATTCGAAGTAACTATATCCTACATATTTCTTGATACTACTAACGACTTTTTACTGAAACTGCATCTTTCAAATTAAACACGTGTTTAGAGGAGGTAATCTCACTTAACATTTCACGAATGTTGGTGAAAATAAACGTCCCATCAAGCTAATTTCGTTTCAGATGTTTTGTTTTATTTGTTACTCCTTTATGCTTCCGTTGTTTATTATTAACAATCGTATAAGCTCGATAGCCCAATACTTTCACCAAATTAGCCTAAAATATCTTGGATCAAAAACTATTAAAATGTGTATAAAGCCCAGAAAAGTTAGATCTATCATGCAAACTAACCTCAATTTCTCTTTGTTTGTGCATTAACGTTCAAGAACGATAATTTGAATTATTCTTGGTGTTCTACAGTAAATTTAACAATCAGATGGTGTTTATTCAACTTAATCATTCTTTCATTTGTTCTTCGGACCTAAAAATTACTAAGTTTCGTCTACATATTTTCAATCATACGGTGTTTAAATTGGCCTAGACAGCCACCCAACCCATTGCTCATGGTAAAGCTAAAGCTAATTCGTCATACTTAATGCTCAAACTTGGAACCATACAAACTCTATCAGTTTGATCATACGTTATTCTATTAAACACAAAATGTAGTTTCTTTGCAGCAAAGGACTAAAGCTTGGAAGAGAAAAAAAAATGTTCAGTGAAACCTAAAATAGAATATCACTAGAATAACATACCAGCTGTATATATAAATTAATAGTTACTTATAATGGGATATTACGATATTAGTTAGTTTGTTTATTTGTAGTTAAGCACAAAGATACTCAATGGGCTATCTGTGCTGTGCCCACCACGGGTATTTAAACCCGGTTTCTAGTGTTATAAGCCCGAAAATTTACCGCTGTGCCACTGGGGCACGATATTAGTAAATACGGGCTCAGTTTCAGTATCAAAACTACGAATATAGACTTTTCATTAAACTTCGAATTCTGTACTGAATTAGAAAACTCAAAACTGTCTCTCGATGTGCATTCCTTACTTGTATACATACAAATAAAATCAACCCGGAATCCAATAACTTATGCTTGTTAGTACCAATCTTCGAAACTATTGGTCTTAGTTAAAGGGAATTACTCATTTTTGTTCTTCAAAAATTTTGTTCAGTGATAGCATTACTTTCACTGCAACAATATGATAGGGAAGACTTCCTGTTTAGTGCAGAGTATGGTGTTTTCATCAACTGATCAGTCAACCTGGGAATCTCATCTCTGTAACGGGAAGCAATGTTTTTGGGAACATAAAGTGTCAGCAAAAAAAAACACATCATGACTACAGTCCTGATTATCTTCTTCACATATAGTTAGCAAACAACAACATGACTTCAGCCCCGATTACCTTCCTCATATGTAGTGTCAGCAAACAGTAACATGATTACAGTCCCGATTACCTTCTTGGCAGCCCTGCCATCACTGACACTTTCTGGAAACTCGACTTTGGCTGAATTTTTTACTATCATCTCGGTTAAGACACGGAAGTATCTGGTAGAGGGTTGTTCCACCATGACCTAGAACAGGGAGGGGATTACAAAGTTTCTGGAACTGATGGGACATGTGGAGCATTTGACCAATCTATAATTTGATCAGTAAATTTTTTTATAAATCTTCTTTGAATGTTTTCTTATTGATCTATATTATCTCCCATCAATATTTCTTGACAGTCAAATATTTCGACTGTTAGGTTAGTGTTAACTCAAGCAATGACATTGTGGCTGGTCTTTACTAATTTGGGTGTTGTGCGCACTCATTGTAGGCAGTGAATTTAATAGACTTACAATCTGCGTAAACTAAGATACGCAGATAATGCTTATAAACAAGCACATAAGTACGTGTTCGTCAACAATCTGACAATAGACTTTTGTAATTTTGCATCATGGCATAATTTGTTTTTTCAACGTGATTGTTGCCACATGTTTCACAAGTAATAATAGCAACAAGCATGCGCAGTGAAACATTTATTGTTTAAATAAAATAATTATTTCAATTGATTGTTTCTTTCTATCAATAATAATCAGTAGTTGTATTCAACTTTCAAAAAATAAAAAATAGAAATGTTATAGGCATTACTTTGCACATCTCTCGTAACATGTCTAGAAAAGTGGAAATAGACATAGTCTTAGTTGTTTACTTTGGTGACATTTTATTATGATTCCTTGTCCCCACCAATGTAATTCGCTTCCGGTGCCTCTGAATCGTATTTACTTCTAGAAGGACCACAAGATTTCATATGTCAGATGAGCAGAGGCCTGTTCTCTGTGCCAGCGAGACCTGGACTATCGATCCAGAAAAACTAAGAAAGGCCGAAAGCTCTCAGCTGAGAATGAGCATCTCATTCAAGAGAAGATTATCCATCTAAAGAAAGAAACATCCAGAACAACAAATAACTCTAAAGGAAGAGTTCTATGAAAACATTCGACAACCTTTTGTCGTCCCTTGAAGACGTAATTTCAACCCCATGATTCAGAGAGCTTTTGTAAATATACATATTTGTGTAGTTTGATTTATTTTATTTTATACTTAGTTCCATTGTGATATATTATATTTCATATTTTTCAGGGTTGTATTGTGAAACTTTTCATTTCATTCAAGTACAATTTAGTTGTTATACTTGTTTTGTTTTTTATCCAATATCAATATTCAGTTCTTTATTTTCATTACATGTGCTTCATTTGTAAGGAGCCTTGTGTTATCTTATTAAAATTTATTTTTTATTTGCTTATTAAGTTGATAATTATTTATGTTTATGATCAACTAATGGATTGTGTTCACTTTAATTTTTAATTAAGTTCATTACTACTTACCTGGAAGCCAGTGGTATGTCTGCGGACTTACAACGCTAGAATCCGGGTTTCGATACCCGTGGTAGGCAGAGCACAGATAGCCCATTGTGTACCTTTGTGCTTAATTACAAACAAACTTACTTGGACTTTTTCTTGTAGTATTCAATTTAGTTTCTTTTTGTTTGTTTTTCAGTATAGTATAAATCTGAGTTTGTTTCTTTAATACGTTCACTCGACTCGTAATCTGGGGGTCGCGGGTTCGAATCCCCATCACACCAAACATGCTCGCC